TACTAGAATGCAGTCTATGGTGCTAACACAGTCTAGGGTGCTAACATACAGTCTGTGCTGCTAACATACAGTCTATGGTGCTAGCATACAGTCTGTGGTGCTAACATACAGTCACAGTAGTGACTGCTACAATGTTTAACAGCAGGGAGCAGAGGAGGCGCTGTGTGTGACACGTTTCCTTAGCAACGCCAAATGTGTGATTCAAAAACAGCGACGTCACGTCCTTCCCGTGGTGCTTAGCGAACCCAAATTGAATGCTCGGCAAAAGAAAACATTTGTATTTTGTATGTTTTCTTTTTAAACGTAAAAAACATAAAACGAAACAATTCCACCAGAATTGGAACCGCCAAGGAAAGTCATTTAACAACGCGCGAAGGGGAAGGGCTTATCGGGGAGAGGTAAGAGTTAAATCCCGTGAAGATTGTGAACAAACAATATTACCAGTGCATTAGCCGGACAGCTAGCTTATCTTACGTTAGGTCAGCCAGCTGAGCTAGCGTTAGCATTAGCATAGCTCTGTGTTCTGGGTAATTGGATTATTTGGTTTTTGATTCATTTCACTGCTACGATTATAGATCAGCGACAGCCACCACGACTGTTCTTGTTTCGTGGAACATACAAGTAAATGCCTGCTGCTATAATGATTCTATAGCCACGAATTTCTAGTTTTCACAAAGATAATTGAAGTGCTGTTGTTAGCATGTTAGACTGAGCCCAGCCGCAGCTGATCAGGTACACTGTAACTACTGTCATTGTCAACAGATTTAATGAGAAATAAACAGTCGAGTCTAAAGTTTAAATACGCACTGGGGTTTCCTTTGTACTCTTTTTGGAGGGTTTTAAAGCTGTGGACTGTGTTCGAGTTGTGTTGCTTAATTTACGACCGTAAAGCGACGCTTATCTGCGTTCTGTTGGTGACTGTTGACTTTGTCTTTTTATTAGCATCCAGGTAAACGCGGTTAATATCTACGGAATTGTTTCTGGTTTCTCTGCCGAACAGCAAATACGTGATACATTGTGTGATGTCAGATTACTGTATTGCTTAAACAGTATTGGTTAATGCTCTTCACATAATTGCTAACAATGTTTTGATAATCCGTTTATGTTTTTGTATGTTTTGTTTGTGGTATAATTTTATTGTTTTATTATCCTGTTTTCAGGCATCATGGATCAGGACTATGAGTGCAGGTTGCTCAGACAGATCAATATCCAGAATGAGAATGCAAGCCCCATAGTAAGTAAATATTCACGCCCTTGATGCTTTTTGTTTTTATATTTGTCTCTTCCGTCACTGTCCTTGTACTTAAAATAGCTGCTCTTAAATCACTTGCTCCCAAAAAAAATCGCCTCATCTAGTCAAGACTGTAAAGAACAGACAGTTAAGTCTTGCACCTGAAGCTGTGTGAATAGTACGATTAGGCCATTATGGTGACTATAGAATGATCATAGCTCCATCTAAAGACAGTTATTAACTTGTAAACAAGCAAAGGACTTAATTTGGGAGGAGAGGGCGTTACTCTCTGTGTTAAAAGAGAAAATGGTTCAACCTTCTGAATCCTAAGCAGTTTCTGGCTGTTTTTTTTTTTTGCCCCTGCCAGATTTTGCTTTCTGTGGGATTATTTTTATTGCAGTTTAAAGTCCTGCTCTTCTATGGAAACAGCTCAACCCTGACACTTTGTTATGGAAATTTCAGATTTTGAGTAATGACTTGCAAACAGAAGAGCGTCCTTTCTGGGTTCTATTGGATTCACCTGTGCAAGCGTACCCAGTCAACCATCGAATTAGTGCCACTCCTCATTCAACAAGCTTTTTAAATACATTTTAATGGAAATATTTGCAATAACACATATGAGTTGCCTGTTCCTCTGGAAACAAGCTTTATGTATTTTTCTCCCATAAGCAACATTCCTCTGGATCATTCAACAGTCACACCGCGGCCAAATTCAAATGGTCCACTTTATATGAGTTGTCGCCCACATAACAAACTTCTTGTAATGCTGACACAGATTTAATTTAATGGGTCTCACGTTGGTGTGTTTCCTTAGTCTGCCAGTTTTAATTGATTTACATGATCCATGAACCATGTTTTTGCCTCTTTCTTTGTCTCCAGAGTGTTGAGAATACAGCAAGAGGCTAATGTATATATGTTAGTAAAACATTGACTGGACTTATGACTGAGCATCAGCAAAACACAAGCATACGAGTAATTAAAACCCACGCATGTCTATAAATAATGACCACACAGATTGCATAAGTAAATAATGGACAAGACAGATTACG